ATGTCCTGGATTCTGGTTCCATACTCTAGGAATACAGGACCGGGTACCATGACAACAGTGACTCAGAGGACCCTGGTTATACGACAGGAGGAAAACCATCTCCATCAGTTACAACCCAAAATTATCAGTCCTTTATAAACGCAGTCACCTGACTAGGTAAGGCAAGGAACACATCCACATGACCTCTTTTTCAAATCAAGACTCCTCTGTGCAGTGTAATAGCCTAAGTTTTTATTTAAGCATATTTCATTAATTTGGTGGGAGAAAGGGAAAAAGAATGCCCAGGGATCTGACCTGTTCTACAATAGCCTTATTGCGATCTTGTCTGATATTCATTACTTTGCAAAATACAAGGTACTGACTTTTTCGTTTTTTTTTTTCTTCAAAAGGAGATAACTCAGTAATCAAATAAATCATATGTAACTCGTAAATTTTTGTACCAAGTTCTTACTCATCACTCCTAATTGCCAAATCTTAGAGCTATGAAACAACATTGCTGCTAGTCAGAAAATGTGATCTGATATTATTTATCTAGAACATATTCACTTTTTAACAGCTTTCTTTCTTTACCATTTGGTTAAAAGTGCAATTGTTGCTGGAGAAATGTAAATGTCGTTCAAACACGCTAACTGCTCTTTTTCATATTTCTTTGCCTCTTAATGAAAGATGTTATACGTACTATTGATGAAATGCTAGTGACACTTTTTAAGATAACTTCAGAGTGTCCCTCTAGGATCAACCGTCACACAATGTGAAGCTGTCACACTGGCATGAACGACTACTGTAATTACTGTGTCCTTGTATGAAGCATTTTTTTTTCTAACAAATTAGGTATAAAAATCTGTCATTGACCCTATGAAAGAATTCATGTGTCTTCCTGTAATTATAAGCAGATTAAAAGTGAGATTCAGTATTAAATAAAAACTTTGAATTGATGAAGATTTTAATTGCAAACATTTCAGTGATGATAGCACAAAAATAATTTGAAGAAAACAGCATCACTATTTGATTTGTTGTCCACACGTCTCATCCAATAGCTGTGCCATGTGCAAGGAGGGGGTCAACAGCTCAGGATCTCTGGGAGTTTCAACCTTCTACACTGATGTCTGGAAATTTCATTTTGACTTTGAAAATACGGAGGAGTTTAGGAAGATAGCATTAAAAATCCAAAACATCAGTATTGGAATTATCCAGTTCATTCAAAAAATCACCACATTTGGCAAATAGGATTCCAGCTTTCTACCATTAGGTTAAATTTATGTTGCAGAGGACAACTGATGACCAAGACATTTCCTATTTCATTTTTAATCAGACCTGCTGGGAGGAAAAAATAAAAAGGTATGTTTGTGTGTGTGTGTGTGTGTGTGTGTGTGTGTGTGTGTGTGTGTAGGGTGGCTAACTTCTGAGACTCGCTGCAGTACAGATCTTTTTCAGTTACCATCTTTGCATATTTTCCTATGACGTGAGTCAGGTTTAGCCATGTCACTCTGGGCTTTTCAGCAGAGAGCTCTATCTTTGCAGTCCAGACTACATGTGACAAGATTAAATTGGCATGCTTTCCTGTGTAGCTCTCTTGTTCCTGGCAGTGTGAGACTGACTGATACCTCTGAGAGAAGCTCAGCTGTCACTCAGTGACCCATTAACACTACAGTCCATCCTGCAGTGTCATTTTTTTTCTCATTCTTATGGAGATAATGCCCCCTGGAGATCTCCTATACCTGCAGGAATGAAAGAGAACAGCAGATACAGGCTAACTATCAGAGAGGGAGCAGAGAGCACAGCAAGCCCATGAATTCCAACAGTGGAATTTTAAATTGAATGAAAAGATGAGGCCCATTATGATGACTGAAGGTTGGGGAGATAGGGAGAAGATCTAATTTTAAGAGGTATCCTAACTTTTTAACAAGCTCTTTTATTCTTCCTGCTACATATCAGAAGCAGTATCCAAAATAAGACGTGAAGCTAGACATGTAAAAGGCAAATAATTTGAGCAAGTGATAGGAAAATCTGGATGAAAATCTATCATTTACAAGTAATCAAGGGATGTCAAATGGAGTTGTTATTAAGCAGAACTGGAATGTTTAATATTCCAAAAATAACAGGATTCCTGGTCAGGTTTGTCTTACTGGATACCAAAAGCACAGAAAGAGGATGATGGTATTTGATTATTCTGATTTGAACTGTTGCTGAGGGCTTAAAGCTCAGGACTGCTGCCATGAAATCCACTCTGTAAGAGTTCATTGTATGATGGCACACTTGGTAAGTTGTGATGCTACAGATAATAGAAGTATTTTAAGAACATGTTTCTGAACTACCCTAATACTAATTCAATTTCAATAGCTACAATAAAAAAAATATTGAGATCCATTGAAGACATCTTTAAACATTATAAGGTGAATTTGGATACTGGCATATTTGGTCACTGGCTCAACTGCCATCTTTGATCACGTATGAACACAAATTCGAGTTCAGGTTGTTCCACTTCTGACCTGGCTCCCTGTTTTCACATGGAAAAGCAGTGTAAGATGGCCCAAGCACTGGGCCCTTGCCTCTCATGTGATATTGCCAGGTGAGAGATCAAACCAGACAAATCTAGGCTACAATAAGAAGCCTTTATTAAGCACGCGTGGTGATAACAGGGCCCACTAGAAATTAGCAGATGACAAGTCCAATGGCTACTCAGTCTGAAATAAAACAGTTGGTCCATTAACCTGAAGACCTAAATCCCAGCTTTCCCAGCAATATAAAAGTTATCCCAGGAGACATGCCGTGAACAAACTGGACACACTTAAAAAGCTGCAAACATTCACCTTTTCCTGGGCTCTGTTCATATTATACCACTGCTAGGCCTACCCTCTGCTGGAACTCTTGAAAGTACACAAATAAGAAATACATAGTATCTCACAATTACCATCTTTACTATTCCGACTGAGCCATGTAGAGTGGGTGAGGAATACAGCCATACAGGGTCCATGTTCAGGGGCTACCTGTCCTGGCAGTCTGCCTGCAGGAAGCCAGAAAGTGAGCAGATACTGGGGTGCCAGAGTCTGAATGCAAGAGTGAAGAAACACACGACCTATAGAGTGAGTTCCTCCCTATCATGGGCCTTTGTTAAGGGAATGCACCCATCTCAGGTTCCAGGTGATGGCAGGGGGCACCACAGGTGGGCAGAAAGCACCACCTAGGTGGGGGAGGGGTAGCTTTCAAGTTGGTGACCCTGAACTAGCTGCCTAAGACAATAGTGGGAGACGCAGCTGGAATTTAATACTCTTGCTTTCAGACTGGCAGAGCTCTCACCATTTTATTTGGCGTGTGAACCAGAAGATGGAAACTCTTTCAAATACTATTATTGAAGTGAATTTTTTTTTAAAAAAAAGGACTAAAAATATAAAGTTGTCAGAATTATTAAAAGCTAAGGCCTGTAGTCACAGCTTTATTCCCTCTGAGTCCAACCCTGTCTCCATCCTTTTCACACTATGCAAAAGTTGTCATTGTGGTTCTGTTTTTGCTCAGGTTCTGGTTTGTGCATCTGGCTTCTGCCCACTTCAAGCGACCCAGATGCCATAGCATAAATGCAGCATATTTTTTAAAAAGAGTTATTTCATTTTTATCAGAAATTCAGAAATGGAGAGAAGGAGAAACAGAGAGGAAGATCTTCCCTCTGTTGATTTCACTCCCCAAGTGGCTGCAATAGCCGGAGCTGAGCCGATCTGAAGCCAGGAGCCAGGAGCCTCTTCTGGGTCTCCCACATGGGTGCAGGGTTCCAAGGTTTTGGGCTGTCCTTGACAGATTTCCCAGGCCACAAGCAGGGAGCTGGATAGGAAACAGGCTGTCAGGATCAGAACCCCAACACCCATATGGAATCCTGGAGGTTGTAAGGCAAGGACTTTTGCCACTAGGCTACCAAGTTGCCTCCCTGCTCCACTTTTAAATTAAAACAATAATTTTTATCAGAAAGTCAGATATACAAAGAGGAGAGACAGAGGAAGATTTTTCGTCTGTTGATTCACTCCCCAAGTGGCCACAATGATCGGTCGGTCCAAGCTGCTCTCATCTGAAGCCAGGAGCCAGGAATGTGGCATATTCTGAAGTCCAGTTCTTTTTTTTAAATCTTATTTTTTAGGATGTATTTATATTGATTAGATAGGCAGATATACAGAGAAGAGGAGAGACAGAGAGTAGATCTTCTGGCCAATGAGTCACTCCCTAAGTGACTGCAACGGCTGGTGCTGTGCCGAACCGAAGCCAGGTCCCAGATCCTCTTCCTAGTTTCCCACGCAGGTGCAGGGTCCCAAGGCTTTGGGCCATCCTCAACTTCTTTCCCAGACCACAAGCAGGGAGCTGGATGGGAAGTGGAGCTGCTGGGATTAGAACCGGCACCCATATGGGATCCCTGGCACGTTCAAGGCAAGGACTTTAGCTGCTAGGCTATGCTGCCGGGCCCAGTCCAGTTCTTCTTAAGCATTTGTAAAATTATCTATTTTAACTATCACTTACGTTTTTTTCCCTTTTTTATTTTTATTTTGAATTTTGAATTTTATGATACAGTTCCATAGAGTCTGGGATTTCCTTCTCACCCTCCCTCCCCCACAGCATATTGTGGAATAAAGCACTTAGATGTATTTTAAGGAAGAAAACCCGGAGTTTAAAGCAGTATTGGTGGAAAGGAGCACCTTTCCTGTGGATTCTTGAGCGTTTAGCAGTCCATGGTACTTTTTGCTTTCATTCCATGTGCTGGGCTGGGGAGAATGAAGGGGACCTGAGAAACACGGCAATCCCGGCTCAGGGAAACGAGAGGGCCGTGCAGCAGCTCAGTCCTTCCGGAAAAGGAGTGACATTTAGCCGCCATTTTACATTTGGCTCGTTAGTGACGCGTCTCTCACTGTGACGCACGTCAGCTAGGCACACCGGAAGGAGACCTGAGAGCCCGGAAGGAGATCGTCCCTGCCTGGCGGTTGGGTGGTGGTTGGGAGCAGCCGCCATTTTCATCAGCGTACCACATGAGGAAGATGCTGGCTGCCATGGTCTCCCGTGTGCTGTCAGGGGTTACTCGGAAGGCAGCTGGCAGAGTGCTGGTGGCCTCCTGTAACTACTCCAGCGATGCTATGTTTGAAATTAAGAAGTGCGACCTGTATCTGTTGGATGAGGGACCTCCGCTCACCGCCGTCCTCACCCGGGAAGAGGGGCTCAGGTACTACAGGATGATGCAGGTGGTTCGCCGCATGGAACTGAAGGCCGATCAGCTGTACAAACAGAAGTTTATCCGTGGCTTCTGCCACTTGTGTGACGGCCAGGAAGCCTGTTGTGTGGGGCTCGAGGCAGGTATAAATGCCTCGGATCATGTCATCACGTCTTACCGAGCTCACGGCGTCTGCTACACCCGTGGCCTGTCCGTGCGCTCAATTCTCGCCGAGCTGACGGGCCGAAGAGGAGGCTGCGCTAAAGGAAAAGGAGGATCGATGCATATGTATGCCAAGAATTTCTACGGGGGCAACGGCATTGTGGGTGCCCAGGTACCGCTAGGAGCCGGCATCGCGCTGGCTTGCAAATACAGGGGAAACAAAGAAATTTGCCTGGCTTTATATGGGGATGGTGCGGCTAACCAGGGTCAGATAGCCGAGGCTTACAATATGGCGGCTTTGTGGAAATTACCTTGTATTTTTATCTGTGAGAATAACCTCTATGGAATGGGAACATCCGTTGAGAGAGCAGCAGCCAGCGTTGATTATTACAGGAGAGGCCATTTTATTCCCGGGCTGAGGGTGGATGGGATGGACATCCTGTGCGTTCGGGAGGCCACGAGGTTTGCAGCTGAGTATTGCCGGTCCGGAAAGGGGCCCATCCTGATGGAGCTGCAGACTTACCGTTATCACGGGCACAGCATGAGCGACCCTGGTATTAGTTACCGTACACGAGAAGAAATCCAGAAAGTAAGAAAGAAGAGTGATCCCATTATGCTTCTCCAAGAGAGGATGGTGAACAGCAAGCTCGCCAGCATTGAAGAGCTCAAGGAGATCGATGCCGAAGTGAGGAAAGACATTGATGATGCAGCCCAGTTTGCTACAAGCGAGCCTGAACCGCCTGTAGAAGAATTAGGCCATCACATTTACCACAGCCATCCTCCCTTTGAAGTTCGTGGTGCAAATCAGTGGATCAAGTTTAAGTCTGTTAGTTAAAGAGAGACTATATAATCCTATGTCTGGGCATCCATGGTCACTATTAAGAATGTATGTTCATAGCTTTGTTCAGGAGGGATAAAACTTGGAAAATGAAGGACTTGTATTTCAAAATACTAAGATTATTGAATATACTAAAATATATAGTTTAATATTGTACTGTACATTTTTTAATTTTAAAATACCATGTCATAGTTTGATGTGAATGTCTTAAAGGTTATCATAAGTTTATATACACAAAAAGCTAAAATAGGAAAATTATCTGACATCCTTAATGTAGTTGCAATAATACCAAGATTTGGTTGAATTTTTTCTTGTTTAAATAAATATTCCCACTGCGAGAAAACTAGCAGTTTGGTTCTTGCTTCCACCGCCATAGGCTTGGGTGTGGACTCCCTCTCCTGCGGTAAGGAGGAATTTAAGTTCCTTGTCCTACTGTTGTTTGCAACCAAGTTCAGTAAAACTGTGCAGGCACATATAGGTGTGCATTACAAAACTGATATGAAAACATGTTACTGCTGTTTTTCCTCTGGTGTGTAATAATGACAGAGCTGGGGAAGAGAGGACAGGAAAAACAGTGTTTCGTCTTATTTGTTGTGATATTTTTACGGTAATAATTTCCGGTAAATGCCAATAAAATTAAAAATCTAGAGATGGGAGGTTGCATTCAAGTTCATGTTACTTTTATAAACCATCGATTCTAGTGCATGCCTAGATTTCATAGAGCTTCTTGGTAAATTTGAAAACCTGAGATGGTTTTCAATGACAGCAGGGAAAATGAAAGCAAAGTTTGTCTTGCCTCTATTTATAGTTTCTAGCAATACAGTAATATTGTATGATCAAATGTCCATTCACATAACTTCCCAAACCGGGGCTTCTGAGTAGTGTAATGCCTCACCAAGCAGCAACACATGCCTTAGTGAAACAGGGACACCCACTGAGCTTGATGCTCAGCATCTTTCTTTACTGAGATAAACTTCATAGGAATGAATAATAACAATTTGCCCTCGATTTTTAGAAGAGTTTAGAGAGCATAAAGAGTAAACCTAACACTTTAATTTTTACTTCTACAAACAATTTGAGAATTTTGGCAGAATTCCACGAGCTCAGTAGCCTTGGAATGTATGAACAATGTACTCCCATAGGCAAGCTTCATTTTGTATCTTCCAAACAGAATAAGATAACCTCAGCATTCTAAATTCACAAAGCAGAACTCAAAATATTCAAATAATATCAGATAAGATGTTTGGGTTAGGATTCTCCAGCTGTGAGTGTTCGTTTAGCAGAGGGAAGGGGCCCACAACCCCGATCTGTGGACCTGCGTTGTCTTCTTGACTCATGCTGTTTGCCAATCAGGACTGCACGCAGCAGTGATGGCCCATGTGATTGGCTCCTGAAGTTAGGAAAATGACTGGATTTGCAGCATCTGGATTCAGCCCAACCCAAATACTGTGGACCTTAGAGAAATTAATTAGTGGAAAGGGGTTTTCCCACTTCACTGGTCTGTTTCTCTGCCCTTCAAAAATATTGTAGCTCAAATATAGAAGTACCTCAATTGAATATCTGCCAATGACAACATTTTTTGTAAGACAATCAAGATAATGAATACCAAAACATTTTGGTGACCAAAACATTTTGTTACATTTTGATATTTTTTTTATTTTGGGATTTATTTTATTATCATTGGAAAGTCAGATATACAGAGAGGAGGAAAGACAGAGAGGAAGATCTTCTGTCTGATGATTCACTCCCCAAGGGGCAGAAATGGCCGGAGCCCTGCCTATCTGAAGCCTTGAGCCTGGAAACTTCTGCGGGTCTCCCAAGTCGGTGTAGCATCCCAAGGTCCTAGGCTGTCCTTGACTGCCATCTCAGGCCATAAGCACAGAGCTGGACAGGAAGTGGGGTTGCTGGGATTTTACAACTGGTGCACACATGGTATCCTGGAGCAGACAAGGTGAGGACTTTAACCAATAGGCTACTGCGCTGGACCAATATTTCCATTTATCTCTAGGTGGAATATAAGCTGTTCTAAGTTGTTTTTCATGTATAATATATAAAATCTGTACAAGTATTTTTATAGAACAGGTTCCTTTGATGCCAGCAAAAATAAACTATTAATAGAAGTGAACCCATCATTGAATCAAGATACACATATATTTAAGAAATGAAAATTATGTTATTGGAAATAGTTTCATAATATACATAATCAAATTCAAGTAATAGTCTTATAAGATTTATTTTTGTTACAAAGTCAGATATAAAGAAAGGAGGAGATACAGAGAGGAAGATCTTCCATCCAATGATTCACTCCCCAAGTGACCACAAAGGCTGGTGCTGTGCCGATCCAGGAGCCAGGATCCAGGAACTTCCTCTAGGTCTCCCACGTGGGTGCAGGGTCCCAACGCTTTGGGTCATCCTCAACTGCTTTCCCAGACCACAAGCAGGGAGCTGGATGGGAAGTGGAGCTGCTGGGTTTAGATCTGGCGCCCATATGGGATCCCGGGCATTCAAGGCGAGGACTTTAGCCACTAGGCTATGCCGCCGGGCCCTAGTTTTCAAAAAAAAAATTCAGACCTCTATGTGTACATTCAGGAACTACAACGATTTGTGCACAATATTATAGTTATGCACACAGATGCCAAACCTGTTTTCAGTTAGGGCACTTTTTTTTTTGCTTGACTGATAGCAGCGATTCATTCAGTTATAAGTCAGGTATTTTTTCTCCATATGCTAGAAGCCAAGATAGTCATACAAATTTGATTGCTCCAACAATTTCCAACATCTGAAAGAAGAGTTCTGAAGTCATGATCTTTATGGCACTCTATAATGACAGAGGACTATGTTCATTATATTTCAATTGGAATGAGAAAGGCTAAGAAATATATGTAGAAATATATAATCACATTTACTGTAATAACTAAGCCTTATCTAGTGTCTAGAAATAGTACTAAGAAATTTAACTATCTGAGATAGCTAACCTCTGATAATTGAAACGTAATTCACATATCTTCACATATCATGTAATTTACTATTGAAAAATATAGTGTTTTGTGTATTCTTAGAGTAACACAGTATCACAACAACAGTTTCCATTACTGCATAGAGAAAACTCAGTGTTATCAGCAATTACTCTACTTTTCCATGAAAACCACTTCTATCTGTGGAACTACCTGTTCTGGGCATTTCACACAAATCATAAAATTCATGATGCTATGTGACCCTGACCCATTGCTGTCCATTAGGATGAAATTTCTAGATTGCATTTCTGCTTCAACACAAATTTGGATTTTGTTCTAATAGCTAGATAATATTCCACTTTATTTACCTACTCATAAGCTGATAGAGATTTGGAAATTTTTCTTATGCTGGCTGGTACCATAGCATAATAGGCTAAACTTCTAACTGCAGCACCAGTATCCCACATGAGTGCCAGTTTGAGTCCTGGCTACCCCAGTTTCATTCCAGCTCCCTGCTTATGGCCTGGTAAAGAGGCAGTCCTTGAACCCCTCATCTATAACAGGGACTTGGGGGAGAAGCTCCTGGCTTCAGATTGGCTCAGATGCAGCCTTTGCAGGCATTTGGGGAGTGAACCAGCAGGTGGAAGATCCGCGTCTCCCTGTTAATTCTGCCTTTCAAATAAAGCAAGAGGAAATTTCCACTTTTGTTGGCTCATATGAAAAACGACAGCCAGTGTTGCTGGGGAGACAGTTTAATCCTGTCATTTAAACATGACAACAGAGATGCTAAAGGTACCAGCCGAGGCGATGCGACACTATTTCATGATACAATCGCTTTCTATTGAGACAATTTGAATTGTTACGATATTTTAAATATTCTTAACTTTGTTCTGGTTTTGTTCTATTGTTTTAATTGAATTTTATTTTTAATTGAATGGCATAAAATTCATCATATCTCATAAAAGTTTTAGATTTGCAAACAAAACTGTACAGAGGTATTATTTGCCCTGCAGTTTCTTTCGTCATTATTGCCATCTTATTTTAGAATATGGGAAGAAATGATTAACTCAGTAAGTCGTACGTTTCCTGAGGAAAAGCCTTCCTTCATATTCCTATAGGTAACCCTGATGTCTGCCTGCTAAGCAAGTTTTTGGAAGCCTGAGGTCTTTTCAATGCTGTGCAGTGTGAAGACAGAAGTTTATTTTAATAATGTGTCCCCATGTTACTCCATTAATGGGTCTTAGACACTAGGGCAGGGTCTTTCCGGACTTCATTTTTTCCCCTGTACTAATAATGAGGTATAAACTTTCAGCGTAATATGTTGTATGATATATACATATATATTATATACATATAAAAGTCAATTTAATTTCTCATAGAGAAAAATTGAAGATGAGAATGTACAAAGATAATAAATGGTTAGGCAATGCTCATTCAGTGACAGTAACAGCTCCAAGTTATACATAACGTTCCACCTTAGTAAACTATTTTGGAGAATGAAATACTTTGCTTATGTTTTATGTAATAATACTTGGTATTTACAATAAAAACACAGTACAGAGGATAAAATGTTTGCTTACAAAGAGAAAATTTTGACTCAAAACACTCAAAATGTCTCAATTTAAAAGTAATGGGAACAGTGCCTGGGCCAGCTGCTCTATTGCCAAATCCTTCACCTCTGGGCACGAGGATACCTTACGGGCACCAGTTTGTGTCCTGGCTGTTCCTCTTCCCATACTTCTCCCTGCTTGTTGACTGGGAAGTATTAGGAAACGTGGAAGAAATTCCTGATTCCTGGCTTCGGATCTGCTCAGCTCTGGCTTTTGCGACCACATGGGGAGTGAACCAAGATGGAAGATCTTTATCTCTCTGTGTCTCTCCTCTCTGCACATCTGCCTTTCCTAAATAGTAGTAGTAATAATAATAATGAACAGCATTTTAAAATGTAGTGGATAAAGGATCCAAAAAAAAAAAGACTTTGAAATCTGCATTTCTGCATTTTTAAAATAATTTCTTCTCTCAAATTCATATGATAAATAGCACATCATCAATTAATGGATGAGCTAGGATGAATATATTGTATTGACTATCTTGAGAGCAGATTTCAGGCTTTTCGAGCAGATCCCCCCCAAAAAAAACTAAAATTCAGAGGGAAGTGACATCTATATATAAATGCATCTATTCTTTTTCCTTGGATTTGGGTAGTTTTTATTTTTTTTTTTTTAAGATTTATTTCTTTTTGTTGTAAAGTCAGATATACAGAGAGGGGAGATAGAGAGGAAGATCCTTTGTCTGAAGATTCACTCCCAAGTGACCAAGTGGCTGCAAAAGCTGAAGCTACACCGATTCAAAGCCAGGAGCCAGAAGCCTCTTCTGGGTC